GAGGCCCCCTCTTCGGACCGGTCTGAGACGAACACCGGTGGTGGCTATAAAAGCCACCACCCATCTGCAAGCAAAAAACACCAGAGAGGGACAGAGATATAGAACGAGACAGAGAGACAAAAAAAAAAGAATAGAGAGAGACAGAAAAAAAAAACAGAGAAAATACAAACTAATACCAACGATCTCAGCAGCAAGAAAACCAAGAAAAAAAAAAGAAAAAGGAAGAAGATACTTACCGAGGAAGCCTCGACCACGGATCTCGCCGGATACAACAAAAACCGAAGGTATATTTGTAGATCTGCTCCGATTGGGAGTCGTTTAACGGGAAAAAGTATCGGGACCGTCATTAGGACGGTCCGATCTACATTTAGATGTAAAAAAAATTTTTCCGGCCACCGTAGACGGTGGCCGGCGGCGGTGGTTGACGGCGGATGAACGCCGGCTAACGGCTGCCGGCCGGCTGAGATTCTCTCAGTCTAGAGAGAAGGCAGAGAGTTTTAAAACTCTCTCTGCTAGAGAGAGAAGAAAAAAAAAGAAATGAAATGGTTGGCCCTTCGGGCCAGCCGGTTTGGACCATTTATAGTCCTTCCCGAACGACGTCGTTTCGGGAAGGACTATGCGCGTAATTACAAAATAGTTAAATCCCGTCCGTAGTCCTCCCAACTTGTAAATTTTATATTTTAGTCACTAAATTAAATTTATAATATTTTTAATTCAGTCTTCGAATTTTAATTTCTTTTATTTTAGTCCTTCATATTAAAATAATATATTTAGGATAAATTACAGATTTAATCCCTTAATTTTAATAAATAATATTTTAATCCCTAGTTTATATGTTTAATTTATTTGATTCTAATATCCGAATTTTAGATAATTTTATTTTAGTCACCAAATAAATAAAATAAGGAACTAACATATTAAATCCCTATAATTTTGATTAATTATGAATTAGATTCTTAATTTTATTTTTATTATAATTTAGTCAGTTATTTTATATGTTTTCATTTACTTTATTGTTTTTAATATATTGTTTTAGTAGTATTTGTATTTTTATTTTATTATATTGTTAAATATTTTATATTCATAAATATATAATAAATAGTGATTTTTAAATATTTATTTTTAATATCGAAGAAAAGGACAGTCTTAATACAACTGGATGTTCTATTCTGATATTTTAAAATTAAAAAGTAAACAATATTATTAAATTAATATTTATCAATATCAAAGAAAGAGCTGTCTTAAGGCACCTAGAAGTTCTTTTCGGATATTTTTAAATAATAAATATTTTTTTATAATTTTGAAATAATAGAATTATAAATTAAATATATTTTTGAATTTTTAAAATTTTAATAATAGAGACAATTTATAATTAAAAAGTACCAATTTTGGGCGTTGTAGGGGTGCTAATCCTTCCCTAAACGTAACCGACCACGAATCCCTTTTTATTATTAAAAAGAATGAATTTTTGGTTATAAACGCAGATCAGTTATTTTTTTAATTGGTGTTTTATTAAACTCTTTTAAAAAATAATTTTTAGGTATTCGACCTACCTGACCCAAAAGGCCGATGGCGACTCCCAAATTATTTTCAAAATTATTTATTAACATTAATTTCCCCGCCAAAAAATTAATATTTCGTGCCCGGACGAAAACCGGTTACGACAGCTTGGCGACTCCACTGGGGACTGGTCAAACTTTTAAAAATCAATTATGAATTGTCTCTATAAATTAAAAATTAAAAATTCATATATTTAATTTTTAATTTTATTTTTTCAAAATTTTTATATTTACTTATTTTTCATAATATTTATCTGTTTTATTTTATTTGTAATTATTTTATTTCATTATTATTTTACTGTCAAAGGTTTGAGCATTTCTCCTCACACAACACTTGCATTGCATAACATAAGCTCTATAATTGAGTTGTCCTTTTAAGTGGGAGTGAAAGCGACGTCTTCGTGAGAATTTATTCTCCGTGTCAGACCTAGCAAGTAACTTCCGGGGTTCATATGCTCTATGTCTTCGTGAGAATTTATTCTCCGTGTCAGATATAGAGAAATGTATCCCCTCGAATTGAACTCGATCCACTTTAGTCTGTGATGGACTAGGGTTGAGGGTTAGCAGCCTAAGGGGGCACTAACATGGACAATTCGAGTACCTTTACTCCTAGATCTGAAACCCTGCATATAAAAAACCTTAGAAACTCTTCCAATCCGAAGTCATGCCGAAATTTTGTCCAAAATAGATGTACACACAGGAGAAATGAATTCTGTCTTTCCTGTTAATTTATTTATTGTTTAAATTACATGTTTATTTAAATTATTTAAATTTAGAAAAGCATGTTTAAATTAAATAAATGTTATTATTGAATTTTTTATGTAAACTAATTTTTTTTTGTGTGTTCTTTATTTTTCTGTTTGCATTGCATCATACAGGATAAAAGACATTGATCCTTGTGTTAATTGTCTCATTGGAAAGCCTTCATCTATGGATAAAAAGTGTTCAAATCAAATAATTCTGAACTCAGAAGTAAGACAGTGGGCTGAGGATTTACAAAGACAAGGAGGAGATAGTCTGCAGGATGATTATGTATCTGACTTGGCCAGTTATGCTCCAGTTTCATTAAAAAGAAATGATATGCAAGATTTGCGAAGCATTTGGGAAAGTTGGGATTCAAACAAAAAATTGCAGTTTTATCAGACTTACGGAGACATTCCATATCTGCTCTATGTAGAAGTTGATGATGAATTACTCAGAGCCCTAATTCAATTCTGGAATCCAGGGTACAATTGCTTCACTTTCAATAAGGAGGACTTGGTCCCTACTATTGAAGAATATACAACTTTGTTACATCTTGAAGGTGCTTTGGAGAATCGAATATATTCAAAGTCAATTAAAACTCAACCCTTTCGAGTTAAATTAGCAAAGATTGCTGGGGTACGAGAAGAATGGGTAGCATCCCGTACCAAACAAAAAGGCGAAAGCGAAGGCATTGCTTGGACCAACATCAGAGAGCTTATTCAGAGTCATCCAGACGCTAAAGTACGATTCGATCTATTTGCTCTGGGTATATATGGTATGGTTATCTTCCCAAAAGTATTGGGATATGTTGAAGCTGCAGTGGTAGACTTGTTTGAACAGCTACCGAAGAAGATTAATCCCGTTTCTGCAATCCTAGCAGAGACTTTCAGATCGTTAAATGCTTGCAGAAGGCTAGGAGGTGGACGATTCTCAGGGTGTACCCAATTGTTATATGTTTGGATCCGTAGTCATTTCTGGAGAACAGAAAAGGTTTCATACCGACGCTTTAATACGGATTATTCACCATTAAAAGAATTTCTAGAGCAGGAATGGCCGAAAGAAATTAAGAAAGATATGTGGATTAATGCCTTTCGAAATCTGCAAAGCAATGACGTTATTTGGCGATCCCCATGGCAAATACAAAGGGAATTCATTTACAGGTGTGGTAATTACAACTGGATAATGCTGCTCGGATTATGGGGAGGAATTGGATATGCACCACTGCTGGTCATAAGACAGTATGAAGGTCGTCAATTTGTACCTGTCACTGCTGGACTACAGTCATCTGAGTTCGCATTCCACAGCAAAAATTATAAAAGAAATATCATGGAAGCCGTTACAGCTTGGAAAACAACTTTTTGTATCCGAGCTAAAGCAGCAAAAGAAATGCTAACTCCTGATTATGAAGATTGGAGATCTGTCAGAAAAAACGAAAATATTCCTCTACCAGATCAAAATGAGGATATCTCTATGGAAGATCGCATTAAGGTGGTTCCATCAGAGATTGAAATCTTGAGAGCTGAGTTTGAAGCAGAAAGAGATGGCTGGTCGAAAGAGTTAGAGCAAATGAGACAAGATAAAGTTATGTTGGGGGTTGACATTGACTTTCATTCATCACAATGTACAATGTTGAGAAAAGATAAAGAAAAGGGTGAGGATGAGTACAGAGCCTTACAGAAAAATTACCAGGAGTTATATAAATCCCGAAAATCATCAGGACCCAGCCAATCGACGGTACAGATGACCAGAGAATTGAACATCGAGAAAAGATGAGTTGAAGATTTGAAAGGAAAGAATAGCTGTCTACTCAAAAGCCTGGAAAAAGGAAAGCAAAAAATGGAAGATTTCGAGGTCGACAGAAGAGAGCGAATTATAAACACAAGGCTGAACACCGTGAGATCATGAATGAAATGCAAAGAGAAAGAGATCGAGCCAAAGATTTAGAAGAGATGAAGAATGACATCTTTGATAAATTTGAAGGCGAGAAAAATAGCATGTTCAAGGGATTTGAATCTGAAATGAACCATTTCATTGCTGAACTTGAAGTCAGAGGCCAAAAGATAGAAGAATCCAATGTTGAAAAAGAAAAATGGGAGCTAGAAAGAAAAAATTTCAACACCAGACTTGAGGTAGAGCAGGAGTGGCTAGCAATTGGATGCAAAGATGCAGAAACAAAGATGTTCAAATCCAGAAACTTAATCAAAGAACGCAAGAAGCACGAACAAAACTTGAAGAGGATCTGGATCAGTCTAGAAACAAAAACTCAGAGTTTAATGCTTACATTTTGCAACTTGAGGAATCATTGTTTCAAGAAAAGGTTCGTCTAGGACCTAATGATCTCAAAGAAAGTAATGAGGAAAATGCTTCACTGCGAAGACGCATTAGAGATCTTGAAAAAATTCTGCACAATTGTCAAGTCAGAATCACTGAGTTAGAGCAAACTCTTGAAGGAACAACTGAACAATGGCAAAAGTCAACTGAGTTCTATGTCGAAAGAAGTGAAGAAAGAAGCAATATGGTGTTCGAGGCCATGGTACAAATGAGCGAGGTTGCCAGATATGTTGGGGAACTAGCTGTTGAAGCCGAAATAATTGAGCATCAAGTTGATCCAGTTTCTAAGTGCGGAAAGAAGGTGTCATGGTTAATGAAAGAAATTATAGAGCTTAATAGGAAGCTATGCCTTATCTGTAGTTATGAAATATTATAAAAAACTTTTGTATGCCGATGAAAGTTGTTCTATGACAGTTAACTTTTTGGGATCAATGTTTTTTACATACATGCATTTTGCATACATTCATCATTCATTTCATAATTTTCGCTATGAATTATTTTATTTATTAAGTTAAAATTCATCAATTAAAATTTGAAAAATAATATTAAAAGATTTTTCAATCGCAGTTACTCTGGCCAAAAGAGAATACTACATCACTACGGTACTAGACAAGCTACTAAGAGAATTATGGAGGATAAAATACAGCGTATTGAGGAACAGCATCATAAAGAACAAGAAGAAATGAGAATGAAGTTGGAAAAAATTGAAGCCAGCATTGCAAATTCACAAGACAGTATGATGAACAAAATAGAGGATATGTTTAAAAGGCAGGCTATCAGTGGAAAAATGCATGAAAATCTTGTATCTTTCGACCAAGAACTCATATATCCTCTAGGTTTTTCACCAGAACCAATTTATCACTCTGGTACTACCCCTATACAAATCAATACTCGTACATCTGCATTACAAAAAGCTAAACCACATGAGGATCAACAAGTAGATCCTGCATCTTCAAGCAAAAATCCGCTTATATCCGATGTGAAAATAGGGGATCTTAATACTGAGCATTTGATCCCAGATTTGAATGATCTGAATGAGAAACAAAAAGTAAATGAAGAACTGACCAGACAAATCAAGAACTTAGAAGAACGAATGAAATCAGTAGAAATAACTGAATCATTCTATGGGTTTGATGCTAGTGAGTTAAGTTTGGTTCCAGATCTAATCCTCCCCATCAAGTTCAAAGCTCCCGAATTTGATAAATATAACGGTACTACATGCCCTTCATCCCACATTACTATGTTTTGTCGAAGAATGGCAGGATATGTGAAGGACGAAAAATTGTTAATTCACTGCTTCCAGGATAGTTTGACAGGACCGGCTTTAAAATGGTATACTCAATTGACCAAAGCCAACATTAGATCTTGGAAAGATTTGGCTAAAGCATTTTTAGAGCAGTACCGCCATGTGACAGACATGGTCCCTGACAGATGGACTCTTCAAAACTTGGAGAAAAAGAATAATGAAACATTCAGACAGTATGCCCAGAGATGGCGTGACACTGCGGCCCAAGTTCAACCACCTTTGTCAGAAAAAGAGGCCACAGTGATGTTTGTCCATACATTGAAGGCTCCTTATTTAAACCATCTAATGGGGAATGTAACCAGAAATTTTGCGGATTTGGTCATTTCTGGAGAATTAATTGAAAATGTCTTGAAAAGTGGCAAGATTGAATCAAATGATGGGTCTAGTTCCAAAAGACCAACGTACCGGAAAAAGGAGAATGAAGTCAACAATGCAAATCCTTACAGCAAGGATTCATCGAAAAGTGTTACAATAACCCAGCCAAGGGTTAAGAAAGAGGAAACAAACACTAATCGAGCAGAGTCCAGAGGATCTCGAAAGGAAAATGAAAGGTTTCTTTTACACCTTTACCAGTACCATATGCAGAGATCTATGATTCGCTGTTAAAAGCAGATGTTATAAGGCCCTATCCTTTGGTTCCCATGCAACCACCATTCCCTCCTTGGTATGATACAAGGCACACTGTGTTTACCATGAAGGAATTACAGGACATTCTATTGAAAACTGTCTAGCATTCAAAGGGTGGTTCAAAATTTGATCAACACTGGGAAGTTGGAATTCAATACACCATCCGCATCAAGTCATCCATTGCCAAATCATGGAGATAAAACGTGAATGCAATTCAGGAAGAGAACAGAAAGAAAGCAAAGACTGACATTTCTGAATTAAATCTCCGTTTGTTTGGATATTCAACAACTTTCTTTAGCCGGTATAATTCCACAACAATTCAGGCCAAAGCAGAATGAAGGCAAGAATTATTGTGAATCATCATGAGAAAGGGCATAAATTCAACTATGTCCTGAGTTTCGAAATTTGGTGCAAAATTTGATGAACAACAGAGAAATAGAATTCTTTGAAGAAGAACCCGGGAAAAAAGAAGATGATGTTTGCTCATCAGAGGATTCTAAACCAAATCAAAGAATAAATGATCCTGTGATCATTAATGTGAAATCATCCACGGTGATTCCTGCACCAATAAGGCCAAAAGTTGTTATTACCACTCCTCTACCATTTCCATATAAAGATACCCGTAGGGTACCTTGGAATTATACTACTAATGTTTCAATGGTAGGAGGACCTGTTTCTTTAGAAAAAACAGAAGAGAAAATACAAAGCCTGAGTACTACATCGACGTCTGAAGCAGTGAGCGAGGTCGGTTTCTTTACAAGAAGTGGGAGATGTTACTCTCCCGAAACATCCAATGCTTCAGAACAAGTGAAAGCAAAAGGAAAAGCCATGGCAATACCTCAGAAGGTATTTGAGGATGAATCCCTTCCAGCATTCAATGAACCTGTGACAGAAAAGCAAGCTCAAGAATTTTGAAATTCTTGAAACATAGTGAGTATAGTGTGGTTGAACAACTACACAACAACAGGCGAGAATTTCTATTCTTGATCTATTGATGAATTCAGAAGCGCATAGAAATGCTTTGATGAAAATTCTCAATCAAACATTCATCCCCGAAGATATATCCCTCAATAAACTTGACAGAATTGTGGGACATATAGCCACTGACAATTACATAACATTCACAGACGATGAAATACCGGAAGGCGGAATGGGGTCAGTAAAAGCTTTGAACATCACGACACATTGTCATGGTCATGTGTTGCCAGGAGTATTGATTGACAATGGGTCTGCTCTCAACTTGATGCCTCTAGTTACACTTCAAGAATGCCTCTGGATCAATCACACATGAGAGTTATCAGAATGTGGTACGAGCATTTGATGGTACTCAAAAGAAGTGCTTGGGAAATGGAAATACCGTTGTTAATCGGCCCAGTCGTGTACAATATTGACTTTGTGGTGATGGACATCCACCCCACATATATTGTCTATTAGGAAGGCCATGGATTCATTCAGCAGGAGCCGTTCCTTCTTCATTACATCAGAAATTGAAATTTGTTGTTGATGGACAACTAATATGCGTCAGTGCTGAAGAAGAAATCATTGCGTCTGTAACAAGCGATGTTCCATATATCGACACCAATGATAAGGCTCTTGAATGCTCTTTTCGAGCTCTTGAATTTGTAAATGCAACCTTTATTGCGGAAGGAAGCAAAATTCCATATCCCAAATTGTCTGATTGCACCAAGATGACGGTACAACAAACTTTAGGCATCGGAGCTAAAGCTGGGAAAGGTTTAGGAAAGAATCTTCAAGGGATTTCAGTTCCTATCAGTATAAAGATGAAAAAGACCGTTTTGGGCTGGGATTTAAGCCTAATCCTCAGCAAAAGAACAAAGAGATGAAAAGAAGATGTGAAGACAGAAAGGCAAAATTGAAAGGGGGAGAAATCCTTTGGAAACACATGTCTTTCCCACAGTTGAATACCTATTCAGATCAGGGGGAACAATTAATGTGGAACAGCAGCTTGTTGAAGCCTTTAAAGAAGAAAAGTTGACGAAAGATCAAGACATAGTTGAAGAAGCTATGAATGGATTATTTATCAACATGATCATGAATGACAACAAGACTGGCAAATACTTGGATAGGATTCGCCCATGTCTTCCTGGAGAAACACTCACCAATTGGACCGCTGAAGATCTTCCTATAGTTTTTAATATTAATGAGAGTAATATTCAGAACTAATCTTTATGTTTAGCTCAAAAATATGAAAACTTTTTGTTATCTTGTAAAAGAAATTATGTTAAATATAAGAAATTTTCTTTAAAATTTTCAGATGGCAATCATTCTTTACATTTTCTTACATTTTTACATTTATTTATTTTCATAAATTTACTATATTCTTTCGGAAATGTTCCGACTTAAATTTGCAGGTGTCACCGTGTTAATAGCATGTTTATTCCTAGATTTAATCCAGTGATAAATTTAGAGCAGCCTATATGTCTGGAAGAAATCAATGGTTGTGAAGATAAACTGGAATGTGATATTCCTACTGAACTATTAAGATTGGTAGAAAAAGAAGACAAACAAATTCTACCCCACAAGGAAAGGGTTGAGACTGTGAATTTGGGAACAGATGAAGACAGAAAAGAGGTGAAAATTGGTACTACTCTGACAATCCAGATAAAGCAAGAATTGATAAATCTCCTTCAAGAGTTCAAAGATATTTGCCTGGTCCTATCAAGATATGCCTGGTTTGAGCACAGATATAGTGATACATAAGCTTCCAATCAATCCAGAATATAAACCAGTCCAACAAAAGCTCAGAAGAATGAGGCCAGAATGTTGTTGCAAATCAAAGAAGAAGTGATGAAACAAATCATGCAGGTTTCCTACAGGCATCTAAATACCCAGAATGGGTAGCCAACATTGTTCCCGTACCAAAGAAAAATGGAAAAGTTCGAATGTGTGTGGATTACAGAGATCTCAACAAAGCTAGTCCGAAAGATAGTTTTCCATTACCCCACATAGACACATTGGTGGACAATACTGCAGGCACGCATGGTTTTCATTTATGGATGGATTTTCAGGATATAATCAGATAAAATGAATCCTGAAGACATGGAAAAAACAACATTTATAACCATGTGGGGCACATTCTGTTATAAAGTGATGCCATTTGGATTGAAAAATGCAGGGGCAACATATCAAAGAGCCATGGTAACTTTGTTTCATGACATGATGCACAAAGAGATTGAAGTATATGTAGATGACATGATTGCCAAATCCAGAACGGAAGAAGAACATATTCAAAATTTGAGGAAACTTTTCCAGAGATTGAGGAAGTATCAATTAAAGCTTAACCCCACTAAATGCACTTTTGGGGTAACTTCTGGGAAACTTTTGGGATTTGTAGTCAGCAAAAAAGGAATTGAGATTGATCCAGATAAAGTAAAAGCAATTCAAGATCTTCCACCACCCAACACAAAAAAGAAGTTCGAGGCTTTT